AACGGTCTGCCTCATGTCCCTAACGGCGAAACGACCAAGAGGAGGGTACTCTGAGAAAGTCTCGACCACCATCGGCTTGGTTGGAATCATCTTGACAAAACCAGCGTCGCCATTCTTGAGGAACTTGGGCTCCTTCTCCAGCTCCTTACCAGATCGCCTATCAATCTTGGTGAGGATCTCAGCAAACTTGACGGCGATGTGGGAGGTGTGGCAGTCGAGGACGGGGGCATAGCCGTTACCAATCTGACCAGGGTGGTTCATGATAATGACCTGCGAGTAGGGGTAGGAATTAGTTTCAAATAACAAGTACTATATACAAAAAGTAATATATACACATACATACAGTCGAGTAGTCCAAAAACGGATGATACCTTTTTAACTTGTTATTGCACACAAGATGTCATGTTTAAACTTCCCTTAGTTTTTTCAGGTTTATTAAGTTCTATCCTAATCTAGAAAGGCTTAAAAAGTCCATCGTCATTTGTGTTGCTGCAGACAAGATGCAATGTTTTAACCCCCATCTTGGATGGTTCAAGTCCCAAATCAATTTTCTAAACAAATACAGAGGTTATACACTTACAGATCATAACTACAAAGGTATAGTTTCTAAATTAAAATTTTAGACTCTATATGATAATCAAATAAGAATATTATAAGTTGAATAAAATAGTGCTCATCAATATCCATGTTCAAATTCAGATTTCAGGTTAAGTTCTATGCTAAAATGAAAGGATCTAAGTCTCAAATAGGTTTTTTAACAAAATCGTTAAGTTTTAGATTCATACATCATGACTATTATCAATTTTGACCATTAGCACCAATTCAAGTTCAGAATGGAGTACAAGGAAATTTGAATATACCTGAGAAGTGAAGTTAGCGGCTTCCTTAGCCGGGTCATCCTTCGAGTTAGAAGCCACATACCCTCTCTTAAGATCCTTAACAGCAACATTCTTAACATTAAACCCAACATTGTCACCAGGGAGCGCCTCCTGCAGAGCCTCATGATGCATCTCAACGGACTTAACCTCAGTAGTCAACCCCGTGGGTCCAAAAGTAACAACCATTCCAGGCTTCAAAACTCCAGTCTCTACACGACCAACTGGAACAGTTCCAATACCTCCAATCTTGTAGACATCCTGAAGAGGGAGACGGAGGGGCTTGTCTGTGGGTCTCTTGGGCTCATTGATCTGGTCGAGGGCATCTAGCAGGGTAGGGCCCTTGTACCAGTCAAGGTTGGTGGATCGCTCAATCATGTTGTCACCCTCAAAACCCGAGATGGGGACGAAGGGGATCTTGTCGGGGTTGTAGCCAACCTTCTTAAGGTAGGAGGAGACTTCCTTTACAATTTCATCGTAGCGGGCCTTTGAGTACTTGGGGGTGGTAGCATCCATCTGTTAAATAGAAAGGAATGAAGCAGGGATAGGTAAATAAAACCATTTTTACAAGCAACGGAAGGTTATAGCCAAGGCACATGTTACACTTTCAGATGCAATAGTTACACCATAGTTATTTTGTTGAAAACGATAAGTGAATTACTGCATTGGTATTTAATCTCGTACACTAAAGGAAGAGCAATAAGGTTTTATTTAATTGCTACTATGAATAATGACTTACAAGTTGCATATAGCTATATTTATCTAAAAAAAATTTGATGATATATTAAAACATTAAACGAAAATAAAAGTTTCATGAATTACTGGTTACAGCAATTATCATATTTCAGTATATCTACTCTTCTCAAAATTCCTAAATTTCAATCATAACTAAACAGATATGACTTGTTACAGCAATTATAATAATTAAACAGATATAACTTAATAACTTAGTAGCAAGTCACATTATTATTAACAGAAAAGTAAAAAAGAACCATTCAATAATAAATTCTGTAGAAAGACATTTTACCTTGTTACAGCAGCAAATCATCTGTTTCACTCCAAGAGTGAAAGCGAGAAGAGCATGCTCACGTGTCTGCCCATCCTTGGAGATACCAGCCTCAAAACCACCAGTAGTCGAGTCAATAATAAGCACAGCACAGTCAGCCTGAGAGGTACCAGTAATCATGTTCTTGATAAAGTCACGATGTCCAGGGGCATCGATAACCGTGCAGTAGTACTTGGTTGTTTCGAACTTCCAGAGAGCGATATCAATGGTGATACCACGCTCGCGCTCTGCCTTGAGCTTGTCTAGGACCCAGGCATACTTGAATGACCTCTTGTTCATCTCAGCGGCTTCCTTCTCGAACCTCTCGATCACACGCTTGTCAATACCTCCCAACTTGTAGATGAGGTGACCAGTGGTGGTTGACTTGCCAGAGTCAACATGGCCAATGACCACAATGTTGATGTGGATCTTCTCTTTACCCATGATAGCTAGTTTGCAGTATTAACTGTAGACATTACAAGCAGATAATTAACTGATTTTGTAGGTAAAACACAGTTTAAACTAAACACGATACGTGTTATAAATGATACAGTAGAAGTTATAGCGCAGTAGCCAAGGAGAAGAAATAAACAAAAAAATTCCAAAGAGAAAACATACTACTTGGTTAAAAATGAATTCTATTGCTAAGATGTACCGAGCATAAAATATCTCCAAAGAGAAATCAGAATGCTCCTACAAAATGAACTAAATTATTTAGAAAGATGTACTGCAAACAAAAACAACAGAAGCTATGTCAACCAAGTCCGGCATACAAGGAATAGCACATTAGTTGACCCCAAAAATATCTCTATCACCATCTAACAAAATAAACTGAGCAAATATTTGTCCTTTAAAATTAAGCAATTTATATTGCTCCATGTTATATTATATTGATACCAAAAATTCTATAAATAATTATAAAATTTTATGTTATTAATAACTAAATTTCCATAAGTAATAAATGGAATGCTATAAACAAACAAAAAGGAAAAGAGTTATTTATTCTTTCAGTTTGCTAAAATAAAATCTTTAAGAAAATTAGATCCTAGGAATTACTACACAAAGCTTGAGGTGTTAATTTCATACAATAATCTAATGGACTCTATTGTTTAAGAAAGATGTAAAGACAACAAAAATAACCAAAGCTATGTCGATGAATTCAAGGACCAACCGTATACAAAAATCTGCAAAAAGAAATCAGATCACTTGGTTACAAAATGTATTCCATTGTTTAGAACAAAATAATGGTCAGGCATCCAAAGAACAGCACCTTAGTTGACCCAAAAATATGCTTCACAATTAACAAAATAAACTGAGAAATACGTCCTTTAAAAAGCATCAAATTCAAGTAACTTAATTTTCACCAAGGTATATTACAACGCAATCAAAAAAAAGAAAGGAGTTATATATTATTTCAGTTCACTAAAAAAATTTAAGAAAATTAGATCCAAGGAATACTACAGGAAAGTTAGAAGTGTTAATTTCATCAAATTGTCCAAGGAAACTATGAAGATAGTTTATTCTCACATACTCAAGGAAGCAAGTTGGCACACATATTAGCATAAAGCAAACAAATAGAAAACTACTCAAATCTAGAAAATAACTTAATGCTACATAAGCAATACATAACATTCTTCATTGATAACATTATTATCAAATCACAATAATCAAAATAAGTAATTAAATAAATAATCAAGGAATGAAGCATAAATCGACTAACAGGATTCACTGAAAGGAAATATTTTCTAATCAGTATCTGAACCCAGTTAGACATTAAAAACAATGAACAGGAACCTAAAGTATTCTAATGTGATAAAACTACATGATACAAGTTGTTGGCACAAAACCATAACACATCTTCTACATTTTATAGTGATGACAATATAAAATCATTGACTACAAAACATCATCCCAACACTAAAATAAATTCAAGTATAAATAACATAATCATAAACTTGCAATATGCTTATTAAAAATCTAAAATAAAAAATTACACCTTAAAAAACTTGGAAGTAAATATTGTCGTCGCTAGAAAATGTACAATGACTGAAAGACATGACAAACAAATCAGTACAGGTAAAACTTAACCCTTTATTACATAAAAATTGGGGTTTACACAAATTAAATAGAGATGGGTAGACACAGATGACTACTTGACATTGATATCATAACAGGGTGATTATAAGTGTCATCATTATAAGACCATCTCCAATGGCCAACAATCTCAACAATTTTTTGATGCAATGGCAAGGCAAGTAGGAAGGCATTTGAAAAGGAGGGGAGAGAAAGTGAGGAGAAAGGCAAAATTTGCCTTCATGTTAACTTTCAAAATGGGCCCCACATGTCATAAACTTTTTATAATTATTCTCACCTTGTTTTTAAATGACTTTTTTGATCAATAATTATTTAAAATTAATTTTTTATTTTTTCACCATTATTTATTATTTTTCAAGATCTATAAATAGAGATTAAGTTTGTATTCTTTGGACACCAAAAAAAATTTAAATTATTGCTTAGTTATCATAGTTGAGTGATGTGGAGGAAAAATAAAGTGAAAAAACTTTTTGAAAAACTAGTTGTTGTGAAGTTGAAAGACAATTGAAAAAGGCAAATGATGTGGAGGGAGAATAAAGTGAGGTGGAAGGAGAGAGAAAGGCAATATTTGCCTTGCCATTGGAGATGGTCTAAGCAATATTCTGGTTTTTTAAGTATTAATAAAATAAAGAGAAATTAGTTTCCATCTAGCCTGTCTCCACCAATAGAATGATATGCACGAGTCTCCATCAACAACTGATAGGAAGGCACAATTTCACATCACTCTAATTGCTTATTAAGACAGCTGACAGAAAACGGAACGATAAAATCGGCGTCCAATAGGAATTGAACCTATATCAAAGGTTTTGGGTAACCTCTGTCTTATCCATTAGACAATGGACGCTCACATTCCATTATTTTAAAATTAGATAAAAGTCAATTTAACCAGTTACCATAGCAATAAACCAACAAATATCAATAAAGTTCTTGCAAGATTACTCAACAAAATTATACCTTTTGAAGTAATAAACCCTATATCTAATATTTTCCATCGAAATCATTAACATGAAACCTGATCGCAATTTAAGATCGAATCAGATCTAGTGTGCATTTAACTCCTCAGCCAGTAGATAACAAATTCATCTAATTTCATCGATTCACTTCTAATCGAAGAAGCAATCAAAACAATAAAATTCTATCCATCTAAAACGGGTTGTCAAGGCATCAAGACACGGATCAAAGACTTTTGCTTGCATCAATCCATTTCAAATCGACGCGATCTAAACTAACTTCTGACAAAATCCGGCAACAGAATCAATAGCAAAGACATCGCGCATGAAGCAAGCGGTTCTAATTTCATCGATTCGTTTCTAATCGAAGCAATCGCAAGCAAATTGAAACAATAAAATTCCGCAAAACAAACCCTAACCCTAGTTCGATAATTAGAGGGGAAATAGAAATCTCACCTTCGAGATCTGAGAGCAGAAACAAACCCTAACCCTAGTTCGATAATTAGAGGGGAAATAGAAATCTCACCTTCGAGATCTGAGAGCAGCAAGGTCACGAATGAGGGTTTTAACTATTAGAGGGGAAATAGAAATCTCACCTTCGAGATCTGAGAGCAGCAAGGTCACGAATGAGGGTTTTAACTCTCGATCCCTCTATTTATATGAAGCATGCAGCCATTCGGCTATCTAGGGTTTCTCTTTCCACCGTTGGATGAGCTGATTGGACGGTTGGGAGTGTTCTTCGGATCTCACCGTTGATCTCTTTCGTGCATCCCAAGTTTCGCCACGTCAGCAGTCGGGTTCTAGTTGGGGCACTTGGATTTTTCGCCAATGCTTTCAGTTTTTGTTTGCACAAACTCATTTTTACGGGGGTGATCAGGCACACCCTCCGCCACACTTCCGGTCACATCCCCTCTCTACATGGAGCCCCACCTGAGATTTTTTAAAAAATCTCAGGTGGAGCCCCCTTCACTGTAGAGGGAGAGGGGGTGTGACCGGAAGTGTGGCAGAGGGTGTGTCTGTAGTGTTTTTCTTTTACGGACGACCTTTTGCGAATAGCCCTCTGAACTTTGGGTTAATTCGCACAAGATAATCATGAATTTTAAAATTTTAAGCAAATTTTCTTATGCCCAGACTTTTAGTTAACTTTTTACAAATGTTCTTTGCAATTAAATGAAAATTTCTTAGAAATTAATGTAGATATCTTTCGGCAAAATCATAAATGGAACTTTTTTTCGAAACTCAACCAGAATTTTTCATAAGTTATGAAAGTTGTAAAATTGTAAAATGTAACTTGTTCCAAAATGCAAGTAGAATTATTTGAATTTTTCTGAAAGGTGTAAAATTGTAAAATGGAACTTGTTCCGGAACTCAAGTAGGATTTTTCTGAAGTTCATGGAAGTTCTATGAAAGCTTTGTTGCGCGCAGCGGAAATTTCGGCAGCACTTCGGCAGCACAACAAGAGAGTCAGGTCGCAATAAGAATTCTTGTTTCTCAAAGGAAACAAGAATCTGAAGCCTATATCCTATCAAAGTAGGATATTAGCTCTTCCTCTCGTCAGCTCTAGGACTGCGCGTCGAGGGACCCTAAAAGCTATTACAAATCACACAAAAGCAGTACAACCAATTTTAACGTGGTTCGGCAAATTGCCTACGTCCACGGGGCAAGGAGGGGGAGATATACTAATAGAGGGAGAGATACAACTAGGGTTTACAATTACTCTCAATCTAAACCCTCAAACAAACTCTCAAACCTCTCACAATATCTCTCTACAAAATAGGAGCACAAAACCCTAGAACAGCTACACAAAACTCAAGAGGAAAACCTCTGCTTTTCTTTGCATACAGTAGCCGCCAAAGAAAACAATTCCCTTGCACAAACCCTTTTGCTGCAGCCGCCAATCCGTGCTCACCTCCTTCACACACGTAAAACCTAATAAAACATCATTTATATATGCAGCAGTAGGAGAAAACGCGTGCCCGCATGTGTTGAAACCGACTCAAAAATCCCCGCTGCATGTGTTCGTGGGCCTGGGCCTTATCCGGTTCACAAGCTTGCCAAAGTTTAGCAGGCTTTCTTTAATTTTAAAATTATAGTTCTTGCAAAATATCCCAACTTTCAGGAGTCTTTTGTGAAATTTACCCTACGTATTAGATGAGATTCTTGGGTGTGTGTAATGATTTTGATGATTATCTTTCTTGATGATAAATTAATAGGTTAGATCGAGATTGCATGCGTTATGCATTTATTTTTGGGTTAAATGCAAATGGACATCCTAAGTATAATCCAATTGCAAAGAGATTTTGTATAGTTTTGCTTGTTGCAAATAGAACATCTGTATTGCTATATGTAGCAAACAAACCTTTTGAGTAAGCTTTTTCACTTTTAAAATTGTAAAAAATATTTGAGGTGACGTATAGACCCCCAATGGTTATATTGGTGAAGATTGATGCCCGATCGTTTCTTTGTTTGGAATTTTAAAAGAGTCGAATAAGTTTACTAAGAGGAGTGTATTCGTCTTTGAGCTAATACTATACAGGTTCTGTTCGCAAACAAATAGAACCATGGTGGTCCGGTTGAGGCAACGACAGTCGTTGGTTCATGTGATTGAATGGTTAGGATTTTGCAGGCCAGCACTGCTGTCTGCTTGGGGGTTGGCAACAATTAGGGTTTAGGGTTTTGGTTTGTGGGCCAAGTTGGCGTCCACGAGCACCGTTTGCAGTGAATCAATATTTCGGCCCAATGTCCGTAAACCATAAAAAACTGATCTCGTTGCGATTTATGGCATGTTTGTTTGCACCGAAGTAATTATGAAGTAGCTGAAGTAAAAGAAGTAGATGTTACTTATGCTACTTCCAAACAAAAAAGTGTGTTTGGTTCTTTGAAAAACTTACTTTTAATACTTCCTCAAACGCTTATGTGGCGCCTACGTGTCATCCTTACTTTCAAAATATTTTTCCAAGAAAAATTCCTCAATGACCCAAAATATGGGACAAATAGGGGGGACAGGTGAGGTGTTGGATAATGAGTTGGCCATCATTAATAATGACCAACTCATTATCCAATAGGAGGGGGACACCTCACTTGTCCCCCATATTGGTCTCATATTTTGGATCCTTGTAGCAAAGCTCTTTTTCCAATCCTCAATACTCAGAAGTAACTCAGAAGTAGTTGAAATGCATATTAATTAGTAAATAAATATTTTTTATTAATATTTCCTTTATTAGTTATTTCTAACAACTTTTCATTGATAAAATTACTTCCTACTAATATTTCTAAATGTTATCCAAACAAAAAAGTAAATGAAGAGGAAGAAGTTCTACTTCCATTACTTTTAAAGATATATGAAACAAACAAAGAAATGTTATTTCCACTACTTCCTACTTCATAGTTTTGAAAGTTACTTCTATAACTAAATTTTTATTTCTAATACTTCCATTATCCAAACGGGCCCTTAGTAAAGCAATTAAACAAACCCAAAAAAATGTTATCCAAGTTTATTAAGGTAATAAAAGGAAAGAAAAATGTGCTTGTGCTATATATCGTGAAATTAATCAACCTGCAAACTCATGAAAGAACATGGAAATTGTGGGGGTAATGGAGGTGTCATTGGACTTCTAGCTTTACACATAAACATTTGGAAAATATGGTTGGGAGATGTATCATATTTTTTGTGTGAAAAAGCTAGATAAGTAAAACTGACATGACAAGGCAAAAAAAAGCAAAAGCAAAAGCTAATCTTACTTTTTTCTGTAATTAGAGAGAAAAACTATTGGATGCTGACAAGATGATGTTTTCTTCTCTTTCATTTTTTTTTTTTTTGGTCAATGGGGATTGTTTTAAGATGCTTGTCAATTGAGTAAGTATGCTTTTTATTTGAAATGATTCAAGTTTTCAATCTACAACATATATAATTATGAGTATCTTAATCCTGGTCCTGTTACCATAGGACGAGAATGGAAATATTAGAATGAAGAAATTTCTTTTTACGTACGTGGAAAAAACTTGTGACGTTATCTTGTGGTTTCGTGATGGGTGTGGGGGCCACACCCACGTGATTAGTGGGAGCAAGGAGAATTGTGGTTTCGTGATCAGTTTTTGATTTCCGCATGAAGAAAAGAAACAAGGCCCACCCGATAGCCTATACAAGCCTATATATACTATTCGGTTCCTAGGGCATTGTTGAGCAAGGAGCTTTGATTTTTCTTCGACAGCTTGGTGCAAGTACGAAGTGCAGGAGAGAAAAAGTCAGCTAAATACTTTTTCTTTGACAGCGTGCAGGTGCAGAGGGTTTCTTAAGAAAAACTCAGTCGCTGTTTGTGACAGAGGAGTTCTTTTGAGCATCCTTTTTGAGGGTTTTATTTGTGAGGGATTTGAGAGTTTGTGTGAGGGTTTAATTTGTGTGATTGTAAACCCTAGTTGTATTCTCTCCCTCTAATAATAGATCTCTCCCCTCCTTGCCCCGTAGATGTAGGCAATTTGCTGAACCACGTAAAATTGATTGTATCGCTTTTGTGTGATTTGTAATAGCTTTTTAGGATCCCTCGACAGGTCAGTCCTAGAACTGATAAGAGGAAGAGCCGATATCTCACTTTGTTGAGATATTCGCTTCAGATTCTTGTTTCCTTGGTGAGACGGGAATTCTTATTGCGACCTGACTCTCTTGTTGTGCTGCCAAAGTGCTACCGAAATTTCTGTTGCGCGCAACAAGTGGTATCAGAGCCCAGATTTCAGATCTAAAGTTTTGGAGTTTGGTGGAGGAAGATTTTTTGTGTGAAGCTTGGTTCTTAGAGTTCTAGGCTTCGGTGGAGATAGCATTAGGAGTTACCGTTGAAGATTTTGCTTTTCTCGTGTGGATAGAAGATCTATTTGGAATCTGATCTAGGGTTCAGTTGGGTGGTTCCTGATTTCTATCAAATTTGTTCTTTCTCTACAATTTGGAGTTAGTTTGTAATGGGAGAACAAGGTGAAAGCAGCAAGTCGATGGCGAGTACAATACAAGTTGGTTTTCAGAACACTAAGATTAGTGTGGTGAAGTATGACGTCAAAATCAACTTTGGTTTGTGGATGAGCGACGTACAGGATGCGCTCAATGCTCAGAATTTGGAAGAGACCATCATGGTCTACGAGAGGCCACCTAAATATGAAGAGGCGGTATGGGAGAAGATGAATAGGAATGCTTGTGGGGTGATCAGGTCCTGTTTGGAACAGCAAAACCAAAAACAATAATTAAAGCTTAGCATATAAGAAATATCTTATAGTCCTTTTGTTAAACAAACTGTCCTTCAAAAATATAAGCGTAGCTCGATGAGGAACAGTAAAGAAGATCAATCTAACAGCAAATTTCCTTGTTGAAAAGATATGAAGATGTTGTGCGTGACGAGTGAGAACTTGACGATGCTTCAATGGTAAAACTCTTCAACATAATCTCTCACAAATCAAAACCATAGAATTCTTCCCTCTCTTTCAATGATATAAAATTTCCAATAGGACAGGAAAGAGATATCCCAAACGTGATAGAAGTTAGAGAATATATAAACAATGAACAGTTGAGATTAAATATGAAAAATCTA